ACGGTTTTCAAACGGTAGGTATTTATATCAGCTTTGTCCCCCTTTCTATTATAGATCACGCTCATCCTGTTGAGTTTCCACTCATTGGGGGGGGGCGGGGGGTTGACCATCCATTATTGCTTTGCTCGCTACCTCTCTTAATGTTTGTTGAGAGCTTGCTCTTACTCTCTTTATTAGCAGAATTCGATGCCGTCAGGGCCTATTGATGTGCTATTAGGAACACTTTTCTCTGCCCTTTTCTACTTTCGTTGTCCTAGTGGAGCCACTCCGCTAATTGTTTCATCCTCATATGGTACGGTGTATGCAGCCCTTACTTGGTGTTCAAATTTTCTGTTATCATTATTTTTATATATTCCCTTGCCTCACCCCCTTCTAGTCTAACCCTTTGAACTCTAGTTCACACGCCTCTGTTCCATGCTTGTCTTATTACTCAGAGAATCAAGATGGTTCTAAAGTTTTGCAGCTGCCTTCTCATTCTTTTTGTTTACTTCCACCATTCATTAGGCCCTCTTTATTCTAAACTTTTCACTGATCAGATCGGACGCTTCCCTTTTGCAGCTCAAATGCTATCTCATTTCCTTTTGAAATCATCTTCTGGTTCACCCCTCTGTGTGCCCCTCTGTGTACATGTGTGCCCTGTAGTCTCCCTGACGTCTTACTATTGCTCTCTTAACTTCATCATCCCACCATCTCTTGGGTTTGTGTTTGCTTTTCCCGGCTGATTTAACTCGTACCTTAGCAAGCTTTAACTCAAACAATCGAGCTAGATTTGTTCATGTCCACTGTGTTTTGGTATCCTCAGTGATTATTTTCTTAATCTCTTCAGTTGCTATTTCTATTTGCCTTTCTGGATAATTATTACCTGTGGGGTTGCTCATAATGCCTCCGTTTAATTTTCATGTCTCTTCCTAAACGCGGCTTGATACGTTTGTAAAGACTACCTGAGCTTCTGGACCCATATTCGTCTATGTTCATCCCCCTTAGCCGATCATATATCCCATGTGACATCACTGCGTAATCTATTGTCGATTGCAGCCTTGCCCATCTCCCATGTTATCTGCCCGTCGCATTTCTCAGTGCTGTTGCCAATGATCAAATTATGCCTTTCACACATATCCATTAGCATTCTGTCTGTTGGGTCAGTATATCCATCCTTATCTTCTATGTGCGAATTCATATCTCCTAGTTAATTATCTCGCACTCTTCTACTAGTTTGTCAATGTCATTTTCTATACACTGCACCATTTCTTGCTTTTCCTCTCTGCCTTTTGCACCTGTCGACAAGTATACAAAACCCAGGAGCGTCATCTGCTCTGCCAGCTTTCCATTTTAGCCACAAATGTTCCCTGCACTCCAGCTTGACCCTTTGCCAGTCTGTGCTTTTATGAATGAATGCCCCAATACCACCCTTTCCTGCTGCCTTCTGTTCTATTACAATATTCCCATGCGTAGTCAGGATTGCTAGGTGGTTCTTTCATATCCCTAAGATGTGTTTCTACAAACCCATATACCGTCAGCTTTTCCTGTCTTAGCTGTTTTTCTATCTGTCCTCACTTCATCCTATTCCTACCACCCTGCATGTCATTATATCCTACGTGTGATTGGCTTGGCCCTCGTGCCTACATCGATTTCTCCCCCGAGCTCTACATGTCTTAGATATTGGTGCCACTTTGGAATCGTGTCAGCGTATACCACCTGTGAAGGAGTCCCCCTAGTTGTCTTCCTCGATACCAGCCATCCTGCACCCCAAAGCTATCCGAAGGATCATGGACCTCGAAGCTATTCTCGACGCCACTGACATCATCTTCCCTAGCGGCATCAGCGCGCCGAAGGACCCTCTCCGGCAAAGAAAAAGCACTTTGCTGATCACACCACCACCTTCTATCTACCCTAGTGTGGCTGAATGTTTCACGGTTTTACCGATAAGCATTGCAGCTTCTCCCCACTCATCATCATTTACTTGGTGCAGATGGCGGAATTTTGTAAAGAGTTGTTTTATTGCACTTGCGCGTTTTGTATGTGTTTCATCACTGACATCAGTTTCTTTTTTCGTATTACTTGCGCAAGAAACGTTGGCTGAAGGCCGCATCCACTGCATGATTCAAGCATTGTAAGCTCTGCTCACCCGCATGTCACGGGCATAAAATCCCGGCCGAGCGACCAAATTTTCAGTGAAGGCAGAAAGGCTTGAGGCCCGCGCTCTTAACTAAGAGCACGTTAGAGAACCTAAGCTGGTCCTAAATTTTGAGCACCCTACTACGGCATCTTTCAGAGACGTATGGTGGTTTTGGGAAGTTAAACCCACCCAAGTATTATTAGCCCTGTGAGCTGCATAGTTACCGCAGCCGCCGTGTGCTCACGATAGTACTGAAAGTAATACTTGTGGTATAAAAACAGTATTACTGAAAGGAAGGGCTCAAGTACATCACTTGCGATAATGAAAGACACCTCTTCTTGGCTTTATTCAGCCCCCCCCCCATGCGCCGCCTCTAGCGTGCTCGCTCGTGCGAAATAAAAATAAAGCGTTTGAAGCGTGTGAGAAATTTCACGCAACTTTAAATTGAATAGTGGGGAATCGTTCAAAACATTTTGTACTGAGCAATTAAGAGCCGTGTAACTGTGTCATGGTTTATGGCAAGACCAAGACAAATAGGACCCTCTGCTTGAGGAAAAAAATCTTAATGCAAGATTGTAAGTTTTGTTGGAATCTACGTGGGAGTGACCCGCAGTGTCGCCCTAAGGAGTGGTACGTCTCCGGATTTTTAAAGTTCTTCCTATCACGTCTATGTCTAAGCATTGACGTCGGCTATACCTCTTGGTTCTTTGATTCGGCCAGTATAATTGTCCTAATGATTTACCTGCCCATTTCCCTTCTGCTGTGCTTTGTGTGGTTGGTCGGTTTGTCAAAATGTATTTTCCGAAGAGACGTGAACAGCAAGCAGTGCGCTCCTTCCACGTCGGAACGAGCAGGCTAAGCCGGACCACATCATGAATTCTCTGGACAGCCATAGCTTATCCCCGTTTTTTGGGCTCCTTACAGTGGGCACCACTTGGCATTTTATTGCACACTTTTTTTCTAATTTCTTTTTAGTTTTTCAAGCCTCATACCTGTATATGTTAGATCTAGCAGTATGCGATGTGCGCTGCTTTCGCTACAGTGATATATGGGCAATGTTTATCATATGGTTCTGAAAGTCAATAAGTGGAACTGCACGACCTCAGCCAATATTATACAGTGCTATCCAAAATAAGCCGCCAACTAGACACAGTCGTCCGGAACTTTTGCACACTAATCATTTAAATACTAACCAAATAAATCATTACCTAGCACTAACCAACACTAGCTACCACTTGCTTGCATTTGCAACTGCTATTCTATTGTTCCCCAACCTTACCCAGCCGACACTCGCGGCGCTGGTCCTTGCATGCGTGTCATACCGTATGTCTATCTCATGTGGCCACTTATATACCGTCAGACGGTAAGTTGGGCCACTTCGTAGGAATACATCGTGAACTTGTTTACAGCGCAACACCAGAAACACAGGACAGGGAAGGAGCAAAACAGAAAGAAGCGCCAGCGCCGTCTTCTTTTTTTTTCTCTTTTGCCTATTCCCTACCCTTTGTTTCTGGTTTTGCGCAGTAAACAAGTTATATAACGTCATTCATTTTGTTCACGCCATAGTATACACCTTCGTAACGTATTCATCATATCGGTTGTCATACACGCTCATTATGGTATGTATACTCTGATATATTAGCAGGTTACTGAACCACCCCCATAGCAGCAAGATGGCAGAGAGAACCACATGATAGACAAACAGACCGACAGACAGGTGACAATAACACGGTGCCTTTGGTCAGCCTAGAAATGTGTCACGTTTCACAATTTCTGGGCCACTCCCCATTACAGCAAAATCTGTATATGGCTAGGAGAAACAAAAAATCGTACGGCAGCGGTACGAGCACTCTCAATTGGTTGTGTTATCAGCTACGTCGTTCGCAGCGTCGTACCCAAGCACGAGCGCCATTGGTTGCGTAGCGAGTCACATCTTACATCCCGTCGGAGCCGTGGCGCCGACAACGCACGCATCAGTTCCCCCTGGAACTTTCCACATTGGTATGCCACGGACAACTCTATAACAGCGCCCTCGGGTGAAACGTGAAAGAGATCGCATTCGCCGGGCCGATGGTGCGCAGTCTTGGTACAAAAACAGACCCAGGAGGCCCAGAGCCGGCAGCAACTGCACACCGATGATCCGGTAGGCCAAGCCGTGCTAAATTGCGAACAGCAATGAACACGCCGGATGCGAACGGATCCTGCAAACCAAGCCGCTGAGTTATCTCGCGATGTCAAACTCTTCCGACAACGCGGCGTTGCGGCGTCAATGTGATGATTGCGGAAGCAGCGTTCGCCAGGGCGACCGCCCGCTTTCAGCGCAAGTTCATCGATGGGCACATTAGCTTCGTCTGTGACGTCTTCGACCGCCTATGGTTCTTGAACAACCACTGTGTATAACAGCATTGCGAAACGCATTTAACCACTCATTACACTCATCTATGATCATGCGAGGCACAATGTGCGGCATGTGAAATAAACCCTGTAGTAAGCCCAGGCCAAACATCTGGGTAACCACATTAAGAAGCACGAACATGCAAACAATAATTGTGAAAGGCTTCAGTGCTACGTCAAATTGAACCCACTGCTGAATACCGGGGCCATACGTTTCAGCTTTAGCTGGTCAACCATTTGTAAGGAGTACTAGGGACGGTGTTCTTTTTGCGTTGGTCCAAGACAGGCGCTTTGTTTCGCTTACTTCGTATTCCGTTGAGCCGTTCAGCCTGGCTTCCTTCCTTGCAGCCAGCTGACGCGACCGCCAAGGCGGCACTCCCCACGTGACGTCGTCGGCCGGCGTAGATGACGACGGCAGCGCTGCGGCTCTTTCTGCTCGTCCGCCGTTCCACTCTCGCCTGCTGTGCGCGCGGCCTGCCCGTAGGTAGAACGTATACCGTAGGCGTTCGCAGTGGGCGCTGCCGGCCGCCGCCGAAGCCACAGACACCTGTTTCGAAAGCGGCAACAACAACGGAGGCCTCCACGAGCAAAGGAGCCGAAACGTCGCCTAGCGCTGCACGTTAGGAGGATAAGTGGCCAGCTGGGCGTGTTTTGACCGTTTGAGTGCGGTGACCGGTGTATCGGCATTGCCAGAATTCCCGAGGGATACGTGCGCCTGCGTGACCGACTTGTTGAGCGTCTTTCGGACACCATCCAAGTGAGTACGCTGACCGTGATTTGATCACCTTGCTCACTACTGATGGCTTGCTTCCTAAACACTAGCCAAACAAACAAACAAAACGAGGACACTGCAGCCGTTAGCGCTGGTGTCTTTTTCTTACTCGCTTTCTCGACGATTTGTTTCGTGCTCTCTCGATATTAGAAGGAGGGAAACGCCGTTTTTTCTCACGGTCTAATATGATATGGGGCGTTCATCCAAGAATGACGACAATTCTTATAACTATTTATTATTTATGGGCTTACTTCGGTGTTTGTACAGCCTCTCTTGCTCACAGTTGTCGTCGCATAAGCCGTGTTGAGTGTGGGAAGCTACTAGGATATGGGCCATCGGCAGCAGCATTGCGCGTTTTTCAAGAGTTGTCCGTGCAACTTGTACTACAGCGCCTCTCAGTTTTCTTTAGCCAGTTTACTCTGAGGTAACAACTTGGTCAGTGGCAGCTCCTGTAGAGCTCACCGGTCAAATAAGAAATGGACACATAAAAACAACGAAAAAAAAGCATGAGCGAATAATTCTTTACAGCATGTAAAGCAAACAGCGTGTGCCTCACAAAAATGAAGAAAAAAATGAAGAGAAGGAAAACCTGAACAGGAGAAGAAACGTCGAGTGAGCTCTTCTCTTGGCTGATTCGGTCGCGCTCGTGTTTGAGTTAATCTAAACTATGCGACAATAACCTTATCTTTTCAAGTGTTCAGCAATTAACGAGCAAAGTGGCGCAGAATCACGGCATTGTACAGTATCACTGCATTCTTTTCTACTTTAAGGCTGCCGCGTCACTTCGAGCATCACTGCAACCTTCGATACTTTTCGCTAATTTTCCACTGTTTACTAGCATAGTTTCTTCGTAATAAGCAGCTTGCAATACTTGCTGAAATAATTCATCGATCGTGGCTTCTATGGCGTCTATTACATGCAAATAGGAACGTAGGCAGTAGCCAAATACTTTTTTCCGAGGGGCGTCCAATCCCCTTGACGTATCTCCTTGCTGATGTATACATCACTGCGTACATAAATACATTATTATTATTGTAAAATTTTGAAAAGGTGGCAGACATATCTAGTGTTATCATCTGTAATACTAGAACAATGAAATGCACATCAGGCAAAAAATAAATATTCATCACGTATTGCTGTATGATTGACAATCAGCTCTGTTGCAAAATACATAACGTAAAGTTTATTACGAACATTTACTGTAAAGATCTCTCTAAGGCAGTGTATACTTTCATAGCAGAACAAAAGCAGCAAACGCAAGCCACAGCACGTGATCAGAGGTGCAGAAACAAGAGAAAAGTGCTTGTACTACGTGCAGCATAACATTTATAGTTGGACGGTCTCTTTGCACAATACACAAATAAAAGAGAATGCATCAGTTATGTGCGGTAAAAAATGTTTTTTTTTTTTTCAATCTATGACGGCTTGTGATGACTGCCGAAGGACGCAGGATAGCATCCCGCCTCGGCGGCAGCATTTTCGATGGCAGCGCAAATGATTGAGGCCCGTGTGCTCAGATTTGGGGACACGTTAAAGAACCCCAGGTGGTCGAAATTTCCGGAGCCCTCCTACTACAATTATAAAACCCAACAATCAATACTTCTTATCGTCACTGCTGAACTTTCTTCTAAGAAGAAACGGGCACGTTCACACCTTCCATATTGCCTACGAGCTGACGGTAAATGAAAGCGACATTTTCCGCGTTCTTAAACAGTTAACGCCCCTGATATCTCAGTGACTTGTGTGTTGCTAGCTTGAACGTGTTTTGACATGTTCTTCGGGACTTTATTCAATGGCACGTCAGGGCAAAGAGGTACCAATCGCGCAGCTGCATTCGGAGCGTATGCTTGTGATGCTGCAACGATGACCTTCGATTTCTTAGAACGCGCGTACGCATATTTCCGCCATAGAGACAGCCGTGTTCCATCACGTTTGGGCGCCTTCGACGAGACCTGCTTGCGATGTACACTACGCGTAGGCGTATAGTGTACACCGCATCGATGTGTATCAGATGCATACTGCGCACCTTATCATACCATACTGCTCAGTGGAGCGCACTAAGATGAATCGAGTCTTGTACGCCAGGCTGCGCTTTCTTGCACTTGTTCTTTACTGAGTGAGTGACAACACTTCCTTTCTGTACGCGGATGTATGACACGTTTCCGGTTGTTGCGTCATACCATCGTTTTTATTTTCTTATCTGTATATTTCAGACACGACGCGAAAACGTCGAAGTCATCGAAGAGCAAACAGTCGTGCACACATTTGGTCGTAGATTCATTTGTGCGGTTTTCTATAAACATTTAACTCTATATATATAGTGTCACTAAGATAGTTCAGAAAGCACGTGAGTGAGGGAGTGTGTCTGCAAAATGGCGCTTTTCCTCGCTGCCAGCATCGATCAATGGTTATTCCGCATACTGACGCAAGCGGGTTAATATCGCTAATGTAAACGCGAGGGTATAATAAATCGACGTGCTTGCAGCGTTCACACCCACGTTTCCTGGCGACATGGTGAGAAGTGCATTCACGTGTCGCTTGGTATGTGACAGTGAACCACTCAAGAGCAAGTGAATGCGATGAATTTCTTACAATCACAACCAAAAAAGCTGCATAAGCGGTGGAGGCAAAAGTCCGTAAGTTGCAAGCTTACCACCTGATTCATTGCTCGCTTTGTCTGACAAAACTCGATATGTGCTTCCTCAGATTGCCGCTTGAAAATAAGCAGGGGAAGCCATATCACTGCTCCCATTTGAGTGTAATGAGTGTACATTGCTGCTTGGATGGTGCCATGGCGACAAGCAGAAAATGCGCGTCATTTTACCTTGTACCTGTAGAACTTGAGCGCGAAGAGCGTGAAGAGCTCGAGAGAGCAGCTTTCACGAAATTGTGTGAGATGTTGACGAGGCCCGTCTTCAACGTACTCATTTTTTAAGCTTTTATGATGAATATTTATTATTTAGTGACACGTCGAGGTGATAGACTGCTGACCCGAAGGTCCGGGAATGGAATACGGCGGCCGCATTTTCGGTGCTTGAAGCCTCGTGCCCCTAAAACAACACCAGATGGTCGCAATTTCCGGAGTTCTTCAGTGCGGCGTCTGTTATATCCATATGTTCGTTTTGGGACGTAGATATGATTATTGTACATTATTAGTAAGTTCGTGTTGAAAGCATATCACGCGCAATCGACTATTATGCGAACAAATGTTGCTTGTTTGTGCAAAATAGGGACTTGTGCGCTTGACGCGGGCTCACGAGGCACGGCGACTGTAAAAGAGTTCTACATTCCGCCCCAGTACGATGTTACAACGGACTCTTGTTGTATTGAGGGGAGGCGCCCAGTACGGATGGGCGTAATGAAAGCAGCGGGCGCCGAGCTATGACATTGGTACATTATACAAAAAAAAGTCTTCACGTTGCAAGTGTTTTCGCACATATAGAGGCGTACCACTTTTCAGTTAAAACAGTAACATGCAGTGTACTAGCTCAAATAATTTCAAAGCGCAGCCTTCAGCGCAGCGATATATTTCACGGCCGTCTGCTGTCGCTCTAGTTTCTTTCAGTGCTTGAACAGCACTTTTGACTACTCGAGGTTGTGTATCTCAATAAAAGTTCTCACCAGAAGATTTCGGTATTGCATTTCATACAATCCTTTGGAGTTTTCTTGAGGGGCACCTAGTTCACGCTGCGAAAACGCAGGTGTGCTATTAGCACCTGACATTATTTCATTGTTATTACCTAGTATAGAGTATCTCTTGTGAGCAACTCATCACCGGTGTACACCCAAGAGCAAAAGCTTTCGAAACGCGAAATGCTCGAAATACTTTATTGCTGCCCTTTCTGGAAACATAACCTCCAAATAAGTGCTCTAGCCAGAAATAAGTATTGCAACCTATCAATGGATCAGATAGATTAGAGTCATTACGCACTAACAGAGCAAAAATTGACAATTCTTAGGAAGCCAACGTCCTATAGACATTCCTGCCGCCGGGTGTACGGTATTACATCTACCTACTTTTTTATGTGAAAACGATGCAATGTTCTGACGCCTCTTGTAATTATCTGAGAGTAGCATTGTCCGCTGATATGTCGGTCATCCGACCAACGAGGGGTCTGAACGTTGGCATCAGTTTTCACATAGGAAAGCAGGTAGATATAATAACGTACACTTAAGGCCGTATTTCGATGCCGCTGGTGTCGTCTAGTGGTGCCGTCGTTCTCCGTCGACATAGAATGTGGGCTGTGTCAAAAAAGTGCAATAGTGGTCTGACCCGTCGGCTGGCATTGACCTCCTTCGCGATACATAGGTCGATTGTGTGGCTTAAGCCGTGCTTGTATGTATGTGCGACGCGATAGCAGAGCTGCACAATTAATTTTCGTAAATTGGTATAACTACACCCTTACTCTGTTCGTAGCTGCATGGAACAAAACACGAACAATAGAAGTGAAAACAGAAGTACAAAAGCCGTACGGGTACCAACAAGACTATATGTGTTTAGAATGGAATAGAATAAAATCTATTTAATGAAAAATACAGATTGTCAGAAGCAAAAAAAAAAAACGGTTGATTTTAGGCAGCTTGACAAAGAAGCTCTCACCCTGTGTATCTCAGACTTGGGTCAGCATTTGGTCACAGACATACTAATAAAATACATCGATAAATATTATATACAAATTATCAGTACAATTCATTGAAATAACAAGAGGGCCTAATATTATCATTCAGAAAAGTAGTATAAAATTAAAAACAATACAATGAAAATGTATACATCATCCCGTATGCATTCTTATTCAGTAGAAAAATTATTAAACTTTCCAGTTTACTTGAGAGTAAAAAGTAATAAAGTAGAACAAAAGCTCACAGTGGAGTTGATAAATAATAGAATACAGCGTAGAATTCATGTAACATATATTATTGTCTAAGCTAATTGAATGTGATGTAATCTAAAAGTATGGTCAATTCATGAATCTCATTTAACATTC